GGTTCTGGGCCAAATCACTAACATTTTCAAGCTAGTGGCTTGTAACATCTGGAGGAGCCCAACCAGGCAGTCTACACCTTCCAGTGTGGCTCAAACCAGCAGTCAGACATCAATGATTGGTAATTCTTAACTCTAGAGTATCTGTCTATTCAGTGAATCAACACATCAACTTAAGGGAAAATTACCTAACAGAATTTATTGATTATTATTTGCCTGGCAAGCAAAAAGAAACGTTTTTTCTCTACATTGATTAGACATCCGAAAAATTAAGAATTCGAATAATGTCATTTTGTGATTCAACTTCGATTCACTAAGATGCCTACATGCCGACGCTTAAAAATTACTTCACTCCTCACAAGCTAGTCACTACGGGATAGATTTCGTGGAGTTCTTGTCTAAATTTGTGACCAACAGGGTCGAACAAGTCGGGTGTGAATACGTATACTCACTGTTGACTAGCCACAGTACTACATAACGTGGATTAAAAAAAGTTAGCACTCATAGACTACTGGATTTCGTCCTAGCACCAACGACACTGACTGACGGTGGTGTTGTAGTTTCTGAATTGTCAGAAGTTATAATTCGTTGATGGATGATCGACAATCTCTACTAGTAGTCTGAATGTCTTGGATTTGATCTCCAGGGGAGTATTAACTATTTCTACCGGCTGATCTCAAACTAGGACAGGACAGTATTCCAATACTTTCCTTGGTTTTCAGTGGTTATCTATCTCACATCAGTTCAATGCCCAGCTTAATACCTTTACACTTCATCTTGCATTTCTAAAAGGATGATAAAAATTATGCGTATCATTGATACAAAAAATAGAATTCAGGCATTGGGATAAAATATAATTCCATAAAGGAGTAATTTTACTTGACATAACATACAGCTCTTCGTATGAGAGTGATCTCGGGTTAGGATCCCAAACACTGTCGACACTGTAGTTTTGCCAAACACTTCTACGTCACTTCACGACGTCATATTCCACTCGTCTCCATTAGGTTCAAAGGAGCGTTGGCCACCTGTGAACAAGTGACAGTGTTAACCAAAGATAAACTGGACTTGTCATAAATACTGTTGCAGCAAATAAAATTTTTCTATTATGGAGAATCTATATTTGATATCTCTGCATCAAGTAATTTCGGAAATTAGAAGAAAGGGTTAGTCAGTGATAACTGTCAGTTAATTACAAACAAAAGAATGAAACGCAAGGTTAAAGACTTAGTGACTTTTATAAGTGGGTCACTTTTACTGCATTCTTGTCGACATTCAGTGGGATTCAAGAAGAGAAGGTGTTTCACTTAACTGTTTGCGTGTTATATGAACTAGCATAAAAGTACTCCATACATCAACTGTTCGCTGAATAGATCCAGTATGTTTTCCATCTTTACAAACCCCTGGTCTTAAGAAACTTCATATTAATGTTGCCTTATACATACATGTATGTATATATCACTCTTAAGAATAAGCTTTAGTGAAGCAAGAATGACATCAAACATTTGTTACAGTAATCTGAAAGAAAAATTACACAAAAGCTAATACAAGACAATAGATATGATAAACAGATTCCATAGGCTTAGAATATCAACACTGGATTCTTTTCTGTCTGACAAAAACATCCTAGAAGGTCTGGATTTCAGGTGAAAATGGAGGCGATAAGGATGACGAAGGTGCCCAACTATGACCAATGAGAGAAGTCTAAAGGGAATCCTCTCCTTTAAATAACTGATTTAGGAAGTAACATTTCAACTAAAAGCAGCACGGATAACAATGTCAAAACTAGTCAGGATCAGCTCAGGAAGGCAAGACAGGCGCTCACTAGTACTAAATCAGTCTGGGGATCTGCTGTACTCAGCATAGGGAAAAAGGCATGAATTCTCAGCACTAATGCCATTCATGTCAGTGAGTGCCTCAATATGGTTTAGAGAATTGGCGCGCGTGTCACTAAAACATTTCCAATAGACTACTGCAAACCTTCAGCTAGGTCTATCTTGGCTAGGGAATAACAAAGATCAGATAGACGGCCACAAAGGACAAGCAACAAAGTACCATGGCAGACCAGTTCCAGTGGGACCTCTGGTGGGGTCATGAGTGTGCACTGCTCATTTCTTCATAAACTAGAAGAAAACAGCTGACCAGTGCTGCATAGCCTTCAGTCATCCCTAGCTGGTGCTAGTTCATGAAGAAATCCATACTGAAAATTAAGTGAGTCATGCTTAACATACAATTCACTATTCATAACTGTATCAGGATATTTTTGGTATTTGAAATATTCTACTAATCAAAATAGAAGAAATATGATATGTGTGTGAGAAGGATCAGTCTGCAAACGTTATAACTTTGAGTGATAATCTACCCTTGAGATATGTACCTAAGAGCAACATCATACAAGCAGTTTAGTATACATATTCAGACAAGACGTGATGCTGCAGAATAGATTTTTCATATAGCAGACGATGGGCTCCGTTTATTGAATGACAAGTAACGACACTATGCATTCGCTCAGTCCAGATGAGGTGTAATTGGATTCAAACTTTGACCGCACTTGGTCACAGTCTGGTGTCAGAAACAACAAACTATATATTTAATAAAAACTAAAACAATGCTTTTTTGTCTCACTGTGTGTCATTAGTTATATTCCACTAGTTTTAAGAACTTTTTCATACACTATTGAGATTGGAAATAGTTGACAATAAAACTTTTCAGATTATTTTGATCCTTTATCGACAGATAGAACGTTTAATTATGAAGGCCTCAATTAATTGTAGAAATCTATGAATATACAACAAAGTTTCTCATCATTGCTTATCCTTAAATAAATAAAATCTTAGCAAATCGAAATTAGCGTCTGTCACCTGGCTTAACAGGAACAGTTCTACCTGTTAAATAGGTTTGAATAGTGCGTAATCATGAGGATAGCAACAAAATTAACCAATCTTTACTTGGCATCCATCCTTTTCACGAGTTGACCTGCAGTTCCATCCTGATCTTTGCTGTTAGTATTACTGTTAAATTATAATTTAAAGGAAAAGTTACGTTTAGAGCTAGATAAAGTTTCGCAGGTTAGTGCCACATTTGTCATCAACTCACTAAAATCTATATTTCCTACCATTTCAAAGACTGTTGCCCTGAATAAACTGATTCTTTCTCACTTATTCGTTTTAAATGCATTATAATAATCACTAATTTTTCTTTATCATAATACTTCTGTGATTAATAGTTCAAGACCATTTGCCAATTAGTCGAGTTTGCTTGTTATTTTTATTGTTGCCAATAACTGTTTTGATGGGATGAGGCTCAGCGAGGAAGTTCCAATGAGGATAATATATTATTAAAATAAAACAGAAAATTTTTTCTAAGAAGCCCGAAGACTATTTCAAAGTGAGGAGTGTTATTATTATGGAGAATTTAAATTACATGAATATCAGTAAGGAAATAAACTCTAAATGAAATTTGTTGACTGTTGACTTCACTACAAATTTATTGAGTAAGAACAAGTAAAAAAGCTAATAGCCCAACTAGAACATTTGTAAACAGTTAACAAAACACATAGAACATAAAAGACAGTCTATATAAGGAAGTTTTCCTCTTTGACATCTAAAGAAATATTCCTAGTAAACATTATTTTGCTAAGCAACTTGCATCAACTCCCGTGTAATAAATGACAAGCAAGGGCTTCAGAGCATATTCCTAAATGTTTTCAGCAAACAGAATCCTCGAAACCCATTAATGATGAGGAGAAGAGATCTAGCTCCTCTTTTGTGAAACATATTATAGAGACAGGATATAAAACTGATGTTTACACATCTTATAAACCCATGTATAAAACATGTTTAGGGCGTATCCTAAAGTCTATGGAAGCCCTAGCAATCAGAAAGTTTACACTACGTTTACGGTTTCAAAAACAATTCATCATCGCACTAAACCTTCCTTGGTAAACTTTATTTGGATACCATAGCAGATGTACTATTACCTCTGTTATTTGGTTTAGTGATCTTCATTGTTATTTTGACCTTCGATATGTCCTTTTAACTTGACCTAAGTCTATTTTCTCACCTCTTAACTCTTTATTAATTTTACCTATATTCCTATGACAAGTCTGTGTGTGATCAGCTTGTTAGAAATGTGTTTCGCAAACAAACTATATGATTCAGACAAATTACGTTCTACTGTTTTGTCTAAATTCATAAAGGGAACTAATTTTTCTCAATAACATAGTAATTTGCGTAAACATCAACATCATCTCCAAAAATAGTTTAACCGTGATGTCACTTAACAGAAGTTAGGAAAATCGATATTCAACTATAGAAAATAAGAAAATGCCCAAAAGACATTTAGAAAAGACTAATTAAATTGAATAGCTGATATATGTTAACTTGAATTTCGCATATTAATCTGACATGGACATCTCCTACAAATAAACTGAATTACTGAAAACTCTCCTCATTTACAAGAATTCGAATTATAAAATAAGTTAATACCTGTTAAAGTCTTGAAATAAGTGATGATAGCAGGAACTCTTTACATTGGAGAAATTGCACAAAACCAGATATAAAGTATTCATTTAGAAAAGCATTTATCCTAGTTGTTTTTCTGGATCACGAAAAATGAACTCATGACAAATCGATCATTGTGTGTAAACCATTGAAATATAATCATACTTTATTTGATCTATTCCACAATGCTCAAACTTTTTAATGACATCAATTAAAGTTTCCGATTTTGCTGGGTGATTTCAAGATACTTCTCCCCAACTATGAGGCAGACTGTTACACCGTGAATATTCACAGATGGCCAAAGCGATACAAAAATTATGGTGAAAATATTTAGTATGAAATGAAATATGTACTAGCATTATGTAGCAAAAAGTATCAGCAGTTTTCATAGCTTCGTGACACGAATAAAAGTAACAAGGATTACTAATGATTTTAAGAGGCATTTTAGCAGCATTAAAACAGGGGGAAAGTAAATAAGCACTCTGATGAAGTATAACTCACTTGTTGAAATACACTCGAATTCTACAAATAATGTTGGCTCGGCTAGATTGTCACTAATAAACGAGCATTCCTTTGATAACAATTCCGCAGACAATTCTGAAGAATAATGAACAGAGCTTTTGCAAAGAGAATGACCTGAGCATTTTCTAGAAATGTTAGCAGTCACATCAATCCAGCAGTCTTTAGCATTGTGTGAACGGCATTTTTTCGTTGAATTCGACAATAATAAAATATCTCTAAAGTATCCAAAATGGGCTTCATGAATAACAATAGCTTTTTCTGCACCACACTGTACATGCATAGATTCATTATAACAAAATAATTCCCACTCTACAAAATTTCAGATAAATTAATGAGGAAATTACTAATTACCAGCTGAGACTTCAAAAATTATGCATATGAAAATCCATACTTGGTATGCAGACACAATACCAAGAAGCATACTTCATATCTTCAAAATAGCATTTACACAAACATTTTGAAGTTGTGCCATCAAGTGAACTTCATGTATAAATATTTGCGATAGAGTAAACAAACAACGTTTCTACTCAGGTCTCCTAGTGTACTTTAATCACTGGTAGTCTGATTCAGATTGTTTTTATTTTTAAGGGAATGAATATGGTTGTTAAGATATATGCAGATTTTTTGTTCACAAATAGCTGCATATTCTGAAATTTCTAGTTCAGATTATTTAAAGGTAATATATGTCTGCACTAATCCTCTCGATTTGCTGTACAAAAAACAATCGGTGTTATTCTTAGTTGGCCAAGAAATGAGGAAATGACGTGCTCCATCATAAATTCTCACTGATTAAGAAATCCATGCAAGAAACTAAGTTTCGTACGTGATTGATTCTGTCATAGGGTTTCACATTTAAAGTGATATCCCTGCGGCTGACTGATTCCAGAGAGGTAAAACAGAAAGGATAAATTATTCCTCAAACTACTTTGTAGCATATGGAATTCTAGAATTCAGTCAGCCGTCAGACCTCGATACAACACTGGGAATAAAACCATTAGATCTCACCTCTTCATGTGCACCTCTTCATAATGTGAGAATTTAGGAGGAATTTGGTAGCCGAACATACCGAAATACACCACTCATCACATTTGCAAACTCCTAAGAACAATCCACTCTGAGAAGCAAATGAGACAATAAGTTACACTAACAACTACACTGATAATAGAAAAAAGACCCGGCTCCTATACGGACTCTTAGACACGTGCTCGCATAATGTGTCAAGTCACACAAAAGCCCACACTTATACCTGGAGTACCTACATCCCCACTCTAAATTCCCGAAGGACAACTCTCAGAGCCTAGCCACCAACTACTCTGAACGCTAAAAGTCTGCCACATAAACAAACATTGACAGAATATGTAGCAGATGTCTTCTGGGAATTAAACCACAGTTCAGCAATGCATATAATTAAACCCATGTAGTTACACATAGGATGTCTTGAAACATCAGGCAGATTAATGAGTTATGGGTGCCGCAGGGTACCAAAAATTGTTTATCCCTGTCAGCGCTGACCAAACAACTGGTGGGAATGTTAATTCTTCTGAACTCGAACCACTAGTGTCGGCTCCCTATCGTGAAGGAGACAGGTACAGTCTAGTGCACACGGAATTATCAATCACATACAAAGCTTGTACAAACACAGGCCTAAATAAAAAAAACCACCCAAGCCTTCAACCAACCTAAGCCTAGAACTACCTTATCCTGTACTGAATCTTATAATACAACAACTTATCGACTGAAAGAAGTAGATAGTAGCTCCACAGACACGGGTATGGTGGTAGGGTACTCACACTAACTGCAACACAGGGTTGTTATGCCATGCGGAACCAGTAGATGTAGAGCCACATTTAAGCCTGATTACCGAGCTTGAATAGTTCAAATGTTATTTCAACTCTCAACTCTACCTAATCCTTATTAAATTTAGGTTTATCCCAAACATACATCTGATGCTCAAGTCGTACACACACGTATATAACCCCCGCCCCATGATTATTGTTACTGAGTCTCGGTCTCTCTCTAATATACCCGATGAAGAAATAAACGTCGATGAGTATAAAGAGCTTCGATGTGACAGGAGCGGTGGTGAGAGGGGAGTTCGCCCTATGTACTTCCTGAGCATACTTATTGTGTCACAGCTAGAAAATAGGTAAATTAACAACACTCACGACACTCTGACTCAAAGTACACTTCAGAAATGCTAAAGAACTGGTTGGATGTATTTACAGAGCGTCTGGCAACTTTAATAGTTACGAGACAACCCACTGATGCACAGAAGTGTCCCCTCTTTCATACGAGCATAAGATCATAATTGGCGACTTCAACCCAGCGACACCAGTCGGGACCTACTAATAGGCCCAGCTAAATATGACAAGCTCTTGGGCACATTGGACATTTTCAGCTGGAGACAAACTGTCACTATCCCTACAAAAGGCGATAATGCACTACACATTCTGCCGCAACATACGTCACCCCTCGGTCACAGTGAATTCTAGGTTTTCAGGTAGCTAACACAAGGCAGTACCGTATGCGCTTCCACCTCTGCTGAGTGGCAATGCAGCTTATACCTCCACTCCACAATAAATAACGTCTGAATTGTAGTAAGGCAAGCTGGGCCCTCGTAAAATCAGTGCCAAGATTATTTTCGTAACCGCCTGATTCCCACAGGACCTTACGATCTTTCCCCATAACGTGGACATATTCTTACCGATTTCTGGAATACTGAAATGGTTATTATACCAATCCTTAACTATAAATCATACTGGTTGCTATTCCAGCTTCTAGTTATCTGGATATGTCACCGCCAGTTATCAAGTTCGGATTCACTTTTTCTCTGGGCTCATCCTCCTTTTTACAACTAAGGAACAACCCAGTACAAAAGGAAACTATAGAGGAGTTCATTATTGTGGGGTTTACACATCGGAATCAATTTGCGGAATAATTTATGTATAGTCTGCATTTCATGGTTTAATACTTTTGACTATTTATTGTCTGTAGGCAGTAAGACTCCATACCATGTCTACAGTAGTACTTAGTCTGTATTTCCACTCGATATACTATTTAGGCATATACCTGTTTTCGTTTGTGCTCAGCCGTATCGGGCTGCGTGCACCAATGGCACAACATAATAAACGAGTACTTTTTATTCGTAAGAACAGCCTAGGTCACTCGGCCAAGAAGATAAACATACCACTACACGTTAAAACGTAGCCTCAACGATGCTCCCGAAATCATTGTGCCTCACTTGCTATTAGAGATATACGCAGCTGCAGTACAGAATAAGTTGGACCTTATTTCTCTAGGAAAGTCTTTGGAGGAATTCAATGAGAATCTAAATACTATTAGAGACGCTACTGCTTCTTTTTGTAATCCTACTCACGATACCACCCGGAAAGTCTGCTGAAGTCTGAGTGTATATTAGACTTTATAGCGAGTGAAGTGACTAAACGAATCATGTTTTCCAACAGTGTTCTCGTATACAATCTGCCTGTTAGGATGTCAATGGAAAAATCAAAGTGACATGTCTCAAAGTGTTCGGCATGCCATCAGCAAACTGCCACCTAATAAGGTTCAGGAAAAATCAGGAAAGTATACTCGCCCTGTGCTGTTTAATTCAGTAGTCCTAATGATGCTAGGAAATTCCAGTCTTCTAAAGAGCTCATCAGTTGGTATACACCTTGTAGTAACGTTAGAGTTGCTCATGACCTTACGCCATGTCAAAGACGTAGTTTTATAATTATATAATATATATTTCTATATAAACATATAAATTTACATGAAAATGCATGTCATTTTTACAGGCACGATCAAGTATATTAAGTGTCGCAAATACCTACCCAACCGCAGAACGTCTTACAAAATATTCTGTTGTCTTACATTTAACTAAATCTAATGCTCCAAACATGAAGCAACTATGGTGTCAATGTAGTTGAAGATTGAACGATCAATTCATGGCTGTTTGCTCAAACCCAACTCTATATTTGGCGGGAGTCATCGTTTCATTGTTCGCTGCTCGTTGGAGGACAGAGAAAACTATCAGAAGTATTATTGTGATTTATTGTTATGACATTTATTCTTAGACTTTGTGTACAATAACCTAGTGGTTGGCTCTGTATTGGTGCAAGAATAAAGGGTTCTTGAGTCACCGATTTGTGTTCTGGTTATTTGCGTTGGTTACTGAGCATAGTTTCTGAAAGTCTTCTAAGGACAGTGTGAGGTCCAGTGTAGTAAGACCTGGACATCGACATATGGTCATAGGCTCAGTTGCATCTTAAGAAAAATGCTCACTTGACACTTGATCACCATTAGCTGCTAGTGCCACTACCAGTGTTACGCAGAAGGCTAAGCTCGAGCATGTACCATTAAATACAACGACCCTAAGTAGCACTCACACCAGTGTGCATACGAAACGAAGTAACGTAACTCTACCACCCAGAATATCTATACTTAAATCTGTTACTGATAGATGTCTCGGCAGCAAGCCCCATACCCCCAAACTTAAGCAACTCCAATCCTACCGCTAATCAAGAGAAGCTGGATAAGTCTTCATACCGCCATAAATAGACGTCAGTGAAAAGAGAGGTAACACGTCGATGCATTCAACACCGAACAAATCTTCATCCGATAGACGCAATAGACGCTATCTCTCTGAGTGCCCCAAAACTAAGTAGAAGGTCTACCGGCAGGCAAAAACCTACTCCTACACAACTCTCGCATCTGTGGCTAATACAGACAAAAATGTTATCGAGGGACCTCTACAACAAGTAACAAGTGGGTTATGCTTGTTTCATAAAGGTGGCCTTCTGACTCATTACATCCTCCAGAACCACCGGACACAGACTACCGAAGACCATCGGTAGACTAATATTCACAAAAATTAATTAAGCACACAAAACATTGGTCATAAATACGATGCACATAACCTCACTTCAGCATACTATCCACAAAAAATACCTACCTCCCCTTCATCCGGTCTAAATTTTCACAGCCAACACGAAATCGCGGCTTCAGTATTAACGCAAATAGCATACATACTGTCAAGCCACTTGTCTCCAGAAGGGAGGGAGATGCATCTCAGTCACACTTCACACCCTCCAAGGCAACCAACGATGTAACTTCTCTCGGTGTTGATACTAGTGTAGTGCACTTTTCCAGCACCGAAAATAAGTTACCACCATCTGAGTGCGCACCCATCAAACGATCTACTACAGACGTTATAAACCTCGAGATAACGTTTTTAAAGATAGATGCGATTTCACAGTCATTCCGAACTCTCTCTCATTCTGTCTCATCCATGCCTGCTCCTTACTGAATAAAATGTTTGACTTCACGACATTATCCTCAATTAGCAACCGGTCTCCCATAACGATTACGGAGACACGGTGCACTCCTCAGATTTGCGATAAAGATATTTCTATTGATAACTACTACGTATTCAGAGGTGACGGAAACCATGACAGTGCTATGTATATCAGGCCTGACATTAAGGCCACCCAGTGCTTATTTGACACGCGCTTTTC